GCTACTTTTCTTATCTGATTACCCATAGTTACCAGTATCTTGATTGCAATCATCATCAGGAGTCTACATGACATAAATATCTATTTTATAATAAAACATGGAGATATTATTTAACTCAAGGCTACATAAATGTAACCAAATAATTGATTCTGCATTAGTGAGCTTACACTATGAAGTTAGAATTATATAAAGCAGAAAAATTCATTCAAAATAACTCTGTTCAACAATCAATAATTAGTATTCAGACCCTAATATTTATTTCTAATTTCCTTTTTACTAAAAGAATTGGAGAAAATCCTTGACCCAATGTTCTTGAGAAATGTTTGTTCTGATTTTCTCTCCTTCTTGTTCAGAATTTTTGCTATTTGACCTTCCTCTGTGTGCTATACAGTTCTTTTCATGTCATCTGTTCTGATACATCATTCCTTGTTTAGGGCCCCATGTATGAGTTGTAGAAGTATTCTTTTTTATTTTTTTCATTTATTTTTTTTAGAGATGAGGTCTCACTATATTGCCCAGGCTTGTCTCAAACTCCTGAGCTCAAGCAATCTGCCCACATCAGCCTCCCAAAGTGCTAGGATTACAGGCATGAGCCACCATACCCTGCCAAGTTGTAGAAATATTCTTAGTCTTGATATCAGTTATTGTAAAAAAATTCACTTTGGATGCAGATTGCTTAGCACTTATTATGCAAATTAGGTCTTGTTTTTCTTCAACATGCTCTACAGCATGTTTGGGGATGACCTCTATCTTTTTGAAGACTTGTGGATTGGTGTCTCTGCCTGACTTTGTATGTTCTGGGGACAACCCCTCCGTAATGTACCCCTATGTTCCCTGTCCTGCCCATACTATGACAATGGTGCCATAAGGAAAAGGGCCTTATTCTGGTTCTTTGGGAAGTAAGAGTCATTTTTCTGTGTGGCTCAGCCTTGTCTCTATAAGCCAGCTCAGCACCTCCACATGGTTGTCGGTCAATTGAGGTGAGTTGTGAATGCCCACCTGTCATTTGACTTGTTCCCTGCCAACTTTACTTTGATCAAATACCTGACCAGTCCCTGGCTCTGGGGTAGGTCTTTCCTTTGGCATCTTAAACCAGCCTGTGGACTTTTGAGTTGGGCCTAGATTGTGTAGCCCATTTTCCTGTGAAAGGCCTTGACTTGAATTGAAGCGATTGAAGCTGGGCTCCTCCAACTTTTGTGCTGCCTGAGGATGTGTGATCCCCCCTCAACAAGTCCTTGGGTCCAAAAGCAAGGTCTTGCTCCACTGAAGGGCCCCCTACCACCTTCTCATTGCCCTCAAGGGAAAGATTTGGATGCACTCAGATTAGGATCCAAGCTGATGATGAACACCGCACTGGGCAGAACCAGGAGCCCTATAACACTTCCAATTTAACATTATTAAAAAGCCATCCTGTTTGTAATGGCTGACCCTTTCATCACTTTATTCCTCTACATGTGTTTTTAAAAAGATTAACGGAGTCATTGGGGAAAAAATGGAAAGCTCTGAAGAATCTAATTTTAAAATAAATTTTCTATCCCCTGTCAAGCTTCCAGCATTTAAAAAAAAGGCGAAATGTACGACTCAGATAATATCTGGTTAACTCTGTTCTGCACAGCCTACTTCTTTATTGAAACCGCCTGTAGCATCATGAGACATTCGCTGAAATATCCGTTAATGAAAAGCTGGACAGTAAGAAAGAAGTAATAAGAACATTTTATCTCTTTGAGAATCTTCTAATAAAAAAATGAAAGGAAAGTAAGTTCATTTTAATTGATGAAAGAGACATAGATTTCATCAAGTTGAAGGCAAACAAATACTGCTAGGGGCAAACTGCACTCCTCTGCGCTTTTTGGTTAGAGCTGTTGAGTACCGCTCCATTGGAACATGAATTGGGTTTATTGTAATGGTCTGTTTCCATATTTAGTTTTCCCAGAATTCACATTGCATCTTATTTATAATGGTATATACCTAATGATGAGCACAATGCCTGACACAGAGTTGTTGCTCAATAAATTATTCTTGAATGGATGAATAAAAGATCATGCATTATCCCTTCCTGCAGGAATTGATTATCTAGTTGGGAGGGGAAGACACAAACATACACAAAAATAAGTGATGATTCCTATCATTGTATTTATTGTTAATCATCTAAGGTTATCATCATATTCTTCACTATTAATTTTGTGGTATTTGTGATGTCATAAAGGTAGCCAAAGATGTTCTTTCTACCTTAGCCTGTGTATGTTTCTTCCACTATTCCAGCCTCAGGCTTGCCTCTCAATTTAGCACTTGCTGATCAGTCTGCCTGGGGTGCTTATCTTCCTCAGTAGTTAATTAACTCCTATTCATCCTCCAAGCCCCAGTACAAATGTCATTTCCTCCTGGAGGTCCTCCATGATTGCCTAGGCTGGGTTATCGAGCCCTGCTTTATATTCCAGGGCAATATTCAGAATTATGCTTGTGATCACTCTTCCTGTATGTCTTCCCTGACAGCGCATGAGCCCCATGAAGACAGGGACAGACTCCATCCTTTCATCTCTTCCCCAGGGCTCAGCGTAGCAGGTGTTTAATAAATGCTAGTAAAATGAATGGACACTTTCTTACAAAGAGCACCTTGAAATAGGCAAGGGGCTCTAGAGCATGGAGCTGGTTCTCAAAATGATGGGGAGGCAGAGGCCTGGGATAGAGAATGTCATCAAGTGTGTGGTCCATGGACTAGCAGCCCTGACATCACCTGGAGCTTGTAAGATATGTGTCTTCTCAGACCCCACCCAAAACCTGGGTGATTTTTGTGCACGTTCAAGTTTGAAAAGTCCTCTTTTCATCTGGCCACACAATGCAGATGGAGAAGACAGACCTCGGGAATTATCCCACCTAAGAGACTGAGGGCCCTGAATGGATCTGGATGATTGCCTGTATGTGGGGACAACAGGTGGCTGCTGTTTTTCCTATGACCAAGTCCTGGGGTCTAATTCAATCACCCTGCCACCCTTTTAAAAAATATACCTCATGGAGCACAAGGTAACTGATTACCTTTGTTTGGGGAAAATGCTGTTTGCTAACGAATTTTCTCCAGATACCGTGGAACTGTGTGGTTCCTCTCCTGGGCTCATTGCCAGTTGGACATAGAAAAGGGATTATCAGTCTGCCTTTTATTCAAAGTCTTAGATCCCCAGACCCCTGGCTGACTTGCACTGTTGGAACTAAGCAAAAGAGATTCCAAGAAGATTCCACAAGGATCTCGTGTTAGTCGATTTTGTGCTGCTGGTACAGAATACCTAAGGCGGGTAATTTACATGGAAGAGAAGTTTATTGTATCATGGTTCTAGAGTCTGCAAATTCCAAGATTGAGAGGCTGGCATCTGGCAAGGGCCTTCCCAATGTGTCATCCCATGGCAGAAGGGCAATGAGGGGTTAGAAGGAGTAAGAGGTCAAATTCGCTGTCTCAAGCCCTTTTTATAGTGGCATTAATCCATTCATGAGGGTGGAACCCTGGGAACCTAAACATGTCCTGACACTGTTGCATTGAGGATTGAGTTTCCAACATGTGGACTTTGGGGGACACATTCAAACCGTAGCAGATCCTCTCCATTCATCCTACCTCACCTGGCACGTAATTCACTTGCAGGCTAGGTGAGGAGACAGTATCCACAGCCAAGAAGCCCACAGCTTCAGGGACCTGTGGACAGAGGTGGACCAATTAGGGGATGGCAAGGAGGAGGTCAGCACAAATTGTCTGCAGGGTAAGGTAGCTTCATTCTCTGCAGTGGGGACATGAGGTAAGGATCGGGGTTCAGGGACAGGGTCTGACTGTTTTATACCAAAGCAGGACAGATGGAAGTCAGAGGTGGACGAAGACTTTTCCTGTCACCTGTGACTCTGTCACAGAAGTACCCAAACTGTCTTCTGATCTGAGGACAGCAGAAGCTCAGAATACCTTGGTAGCAGGTAGATACAGGGAATGGTGTGGGATGAGACAGAGGTTTGCTTCAGTTTCTCATCAGATTCCCCAGATCTGAAGCCAGCCCCTCTCAGGCCTGAACAGAAGCACTTCACCTGTTTATTTCTTGAAAAGCTACCCTATGTTGCTTCTTCCCACTTTTAATTCTCAGAGGTGGCTTTCCTACTGTTCAGAAGAAATAAACTTCTGTTTTCCCTGGAGTCACCTTAGCTTAAACCCCTATAATCTTGTTGAATCATCCCTATGTTTGGCTAAACCAGGCTCCTCAGACCCACCTTCCAGGGTCACACAGGTAACTTGGCTCGCTGCTTCTGGGGGCTCTGAATCCCACACTGCCCATCCAAGACCTCTTCCCTGCTGCCACCAGTCTCCTGGGGTCTAGTCTCAACAGCTTCCACCAAGGACACACTGCATTGCTTCAGAGTGTATTTAAGGTGCGGCATTTGCGATGCTAGTGAGGACCCTTCCTGACCTAATCACGCAGGGGGAGTGGGGAAAGAAGTGGGTATTTGGAAGGAAGGTGAGGTGGGCTGGGAATGCCAAAAAATGGTAGGACTGTGTGGTGAATCGAAGTGGGTCTTGGAATCTTCCTAGCTTTTCTTTTCTTTTTTTCTTTCTGACTTTTTATCTTCTGTTGTCACTCACTATGTTTTGCTTTCCGCATCTGCAAAATGGATTGTTGTAAGCTTGAACAGGAATCGTGCATAAAGTGCTGAGCACAGTGTCTGGTACCTTGAAACCACTCAGTGGAAGTTTCTTATTATTTGCCCTACACCCAGGGAATAATTCGGGCCCTGAAGGAAGACACCCCAATTTGCCACCCTCCCAGCCGTCAAGCCTGATAGTGCACTAGGGAGGGTGACGAGAAAATACCCTGCAGAAGGCTGAGGAGTGGGGATTCTGGGGCGGGACTCTTCGAGGTCCTAAGTGACCTCTCCGCCCAGGCACCCGCCCTCCCCGGGCCTGGGCGGCAGAGCTGCGGGCGGGGGCGGTGGCCCCGCGCTGCACCCGGCCTGCGCGTAGGCGGGCGGGCGGGGCTGCGCGTCCGGGCTCCCGGGGCGGGTAATATAGCGGCTTGCCGAGGCGCTGGTGCGCGGGGGCAGCGCGCGGCAGGCCGGCGGGCAGGCGGGCGGGCTGGCTGGCTGGCAGGCAGGACTGGGATCGAGGCCCAGAAACCGGAGCAGCGGGCAGCCGGGAGGCCTGGAACGGGGCGAGCGCCATGAGCAACAAATGCGACGTGGTCGTGGTGGGGGGCGGCATCTCAGGTTAGTCGCGGCTGTGCTCCCTCCTTCCTCTTCACGCGCTCGGACAGGTGTCTGCCTGGGGGAGACGCGGGGGGCGGCCGTGGGGCAGGGCCTGACCCTGCAGTCCCCAGACTCTCCATGCACGGGCGGGGCTCTAGTGGGTCCGGAGTGCCGTGCACTGAACCCTCCTTTGGAGGCAATTTTGGGTGCGTTCCTCGGACCCAGAGGCCAGAGGCTGGAAGCCTGTTGCACCTCTGGGGCCAGACTTTGAACTTCTCCCCCAGAAGGCTGCTGGGCCTTCGCTTGCTGGAATTTTCGAAGCCAGGGAAAAGGGGTGGGGAGGTGGCACAAAGGTCAGTCATTTGCTCCAACTTGACCTGGACACTCCGCACCCTCGCTTGGAGCAAGCATGCACCGCATCGTGTTGTTGTCCTGGCATCCGGAAAACGACCTTGAACAGAAGAGGTTGGAGCCTGGCCAATCGATTGCCAAAGACTTTCCAGGCCCTCCTGATTCTTTGAGATTCTGTGATTGTCATGGATCTAACCTGAGGCTGCAGTGCCTTTTTGGCAAATGCCTGTTTTCCTCCTATCCCTCTCCCACCTCCGCTCCACCCCACCCCACTCCTAGCGCGGGGTGGCCAAACGGCAGCTTTGCTCTCTGGCCTAGCCCATATTTGGCAAGGATGGGGACAGACACTAACCCCTCAGCCACAGGGGGCTGTGTACATACCAAGGGCACCGAAAAATAGAAGCCAGAAGAAGGGATGGGGGTAGTGGGGGCATACACCCTCTGTGGAGGATCTGGCAGATCCTATGGGATGGGGTCAATGGGAATCAACAATGCTCTCAGTACAGCCTGTTTAATGGCCCCCTGGGCATGCTTTGGCCCACCTCCTAACGCTGCCTAGTACTTGAGCAGTAATTAGGACACTTCCAGACCCGTGGATGTGGTGTCTAAGACTTGCCTTAAGGAATTCTCAAGTAGCCTTCGGGAAGTAGGGGTTGGCCTTGCTCCCTGCCAGGAGGGCAGGGCAGAGTTATTCTGACTCTCCTGTGGCTGGAGAAAAAAACGAAGGCATTGGGTGTTTGGTGCTGACCGTGGTCCCGTCCTCCTGCCTCTGCTCCAGCCTTCCTCCCCTTTGGGTGGGATCTCAGGCTACCATGTCTGTCTAGCAGGCTCAGGTGAGCTCACCCATGCCAGGCCCTGTGCCTGGTGTGGCAGGTACATAGATGCGTAATCACAACATGCTGAGGTTGGCCAAGGCTGTGTGTAAATTCAGTTTTCTTTCAGCATTTTTGACATTTTCTCTCCTAGAGGAACTTGGACTTAACAGCATACCTACTTAGGTGTTTTAGAAAATATTACTAAGTGCCTCTTGATGCTGCCTTGCATAGCACCCCATCTTACGGAAGCTGAAGTTTCTCTTTTCAGGCCCCCCAAAGTCATTTTCTTACTAAAGTATGCCTAATGGGTTCAGATTTTTCTATTTTCCCTTCATGATTTGTCCCTTTCTGATTTATACTCCAAACCTTCAGGTTGAATCACATTACTCATGTTAGACTCATCTGGAAAAGGTAGATAAGGGTTTAGCTATTTTTGCAAGCAGTGGTGAAACCTCTGCGTTCATCCTCCCAAACTCTGATCAAAACAGGGTACTGATGAGTAGATCTGACTTTTCTCAAGAACATTCCACGGAATAGGCATTGTTCTAAGAACCAAGAAAGCAGGCTTCCAAAGCCCAGTCTTACTCAATTGCTTCATCTGCTACATGGGGATAACACCAATTAGTCACTGCTAGATTACAGGGCAAGTGAAATAATGTGAGTAAAATAGCTTTGCAGAGTCTGAAATATGGCACAAGCTCCTCAAGAGTTTTACCCATTTATTCAGACAATAGGAATTGAGGGAGACTGTGTAGGGGTTTCAAAAATGGATCATATTGTTCTTGCCCCAGAAGACTCGTCAATTCAAGAAGGGAGATGGGATACTCACAATACAAGGTAGAAGGTGGTGCGTGCCTTGGGAGGGGTCCATTCATTGATTCACTGTTCATTCATTCAGTGAACATTTACTTCCTTTTCCACATTTTGTCCCAAAAGGAATGAAAGATGATTTATACAGGGCCATTGTTCCTGGGACCCTCACAAGCTGATGTGGGAGATAGTCAAGAATAATTACTACTCCTTGGCCTATGACAGGTGCTTTAATAGTGCACATACAAAGTTCTAGGGAAGGTGATTGGAGAGAACATCAAACTCTGTCTGAGAAAATCTGAGAAGAACTCACAGAGTTGGTGACATCTGAACTGTGTCTTAAGGGATGAATATGAATTCACCAGGAGACTAGATGAAGAAAGCATTTTTAAACTAAAGAGCAGCTTGTACAAAACCACAAAACTGTGAAAGAACATGGCAACATGTAGGAGAACTTAAGAGCTTCATTGTGGAGAGTTGCCAGAGGGATCTGGTGGGAGAGAAAGCTAGAAAAGTCAGTTAGGATGAATTGTGGGGAGCCTTGTATGTCAGAAAGGTTTAAATCTTTCTGTGAACAATGAATGGCACTGATGATTTTTTATTCACAGAGTGCCATGCATCAAATGCCGTGTGTCACATCTGGTGGTGATATTAGCAAAAAGGGGATATGAAGAAGAGGGAGAGAAGGTTTTGGGAATAGATAGGACATCTAGAGTTGGAGGTTCTGGGAGAGGACACCCAGGGAGAGAAATCTAGCAGTTGGAACGAAATTGGGGTTACAAATGTGTACGATGGAGGTTTTAGTAGATGAAATGGCCAAAATCGAGAGTGTAGTGTATAGAATGTTCGAGTTCGTAGGTGACCAACCCAATGATTTATGTTTTAAAGTCTCTGGATTTGACTCTGGGTTCTAAACTTTGTTAATTATTAAACTTGTGACATTCTGGCCGTTCCCTGATAATTTTTAAAGCTGTCAGCAAATTTTAATCACTCCCTTTGGGATAAACAGAGACGTACTGGGAGGATAGCTGGTTAATACGTAACTTTCTTTCTTGATGTTTTAAAAGTTCCAAGATAGTTGTAGACTAACTTTTTAGAAATGTGCATGGTGTATAAATGAGTATTCACTGAAATCTCTTTTACCCGAGGGGCAGGTCATCTCCAGAGACTTGGCAGAGCAATGACATCTCCCACATGGAACTGGACAGCAGCATGTTGCATCTGTCCCCCATCTCTCAGTTTTAGTGTTTGGGTTGGTGGAGCCATGGAAACTATCTTCTGCAATTCTGGAATAGCTCTCGTTCAATCCCCAAAATAAAAGCTAAAAAAGGCAACTTGAAGCAGAAACAAGAAAGTTTTGGCCAGGCTTGGGAGAGGAGATTTGGTCATTTGAGGGTGGCAGCCACTTGTTTGAGATCCCTGGAAGTGTTGGAACCAGACTTCCAAATTGTAACCAACACCTGGTAGGTGATATTTGTGGCAGGGAGAGCAAGACTGGCTGTAGGCTAGTGGTACCGGCTTTGGCAGGGAATGTCAGAGATGGCTCATAAAGGGTCATGAGTTGAGGTGTGTGGTGGGCAGATGTGGCCCATGTGTTAATGGCAAAGCCTCTTTCTCACCTTTGGTGAAGAAAAATGGAGAACTTCCCTGGGCTCCTGTAACCCACTTGAATGTCCTAAAAAATAATAATTATACGGATGTGCCTGGAAATTTGTATATCCTAGTCAAGGAAAGAATAGACAGAGGTAATACAGCAATATTAAAAGAACGTAGGATTTAACTTGGAGGGCTGAGACGGGAGGATTGCTTGAGCCCAGGAGTTTGAGACCAGCTCTGGCAACATAATGAGACATGGCTCTACACACACACGCGCGCACACACATACACACACACACACAGCTGGGTAGAGAGGAGTGCACCTGGAGCCCCAGCAACTCTGGAGGCTGAAGTGAGAGGATTGCTTGAGCCCAGGAGTTCGAGGCTGCAGTGAGCTGTGATCATGCCATTATATTCAAGCGTGGGCCACAGACGAAGACTATTAAAAAAGCCGGGGGTGGGAGTGGGGGGGCGTAGAATAGGTTTTAGTGTCAAACAAGCTAGTTATGAATCTCATTTCCTACGCTTACGTATATGGAACCTTAAAAGGTATATAACCTCCCAGTATTTCAGCTGCCTCATCTTTAAAATGAGACTCATAATGCCTTCCTGGCCGACTTGTTTCAAGGATTGGAAATAATGCACATGTAGGACCATAAACAGCGATCACTTCAGCTTTGGCTTATAGGTGCCTTACACTACCTTTTTGGAAATATATCCTTGTTTGTCTTGTAGAGTTTTTCAATCTAAGGGAGCAGAAACAGGCATTTTTATATAATCACTTCTTTTCACCAACCAATAATTTTTCTGGATGTGCAGCATAGATAAGGTGGCAACAGGACGCCATGTGTACTTGTAGGCATCAGGAGAGACTTGCCTGGCTTCAGCCTCATCCTGACTCAGTCCATTCCTTTATCCCCCCACAAGGGGCCTGAGGAACTCAGGCTCACTTTGGGCTGTGAGACCCACTAGGTTCCGCATCAGGAGAAATTCTGGAAGCCTTAGATCTGTACTTCAGCCTCACCTCAACCTGGCTGTTGTTCCAATTCTGATCTGGTCTTCATTAAAGCCACTTGTTTCCTGTCTTAACTACAATAGACGATAAATGCATTCATAACAAATGATATTACTTATTTAATAATATTTAATAATAAATGATAAAAAGGTAGCATATCAAGCATTGTCTACATGCTGTGCAAGGTGTTAGGAGCTTGATTAGAATGACAAAAGCTCTGTGAAGGTTAAGAATGGCAAAGCCTTGTTCTTTCTGCTTGATTCTAACACCCCTGGTACACAGTGATGGGGCCGGTTGGTGGGCTGTGCGAGCAGAGCCAGTTGCCATTAGAGTCACAATTTCTAGGCCCTCATGTGTCCTCAGAAGTCACCGGGGCAGGCTTAAGACTTGGCTTGGCCATTGACAATGGCCACAATTTCCTTCTCTTCTGACTG